GTTCAACTCATCCATACAAAATACTCTTGGTGAGATTTTATATTTATTTGTGCAGATAGTCGAAGAACGTTTTGAGCATCATGTGCACCAGAAGTCCATTTGGCTGAATGTCTTCAGCCTTCAACGCAGCTGATGTTGCCCAAGTGTCAAGATACATCAGCCGGACATAACGATTCACAAACTTATTTGACGGATGTTTTCACACGCAGGCCTATATATACCTCTACTGGTGTTCCTGGTTTAACTATAGAAACTGGAGGTGGACCTTTAATGGCAGTTTGACATTAGATCGTCTTTAGTAAGATTTCTGCTCCAAGATAGTCCTGTGGCTGTGGACGCATGCTCCGTAGGTGTGCATTTGGGTGAACTGACCCTACAATATGTGGGCAGAGCCAGGCGGTACGTCATCTAGGTAATGGATTCTCCACATGGATACAATGTCATGAATGTGTGAAGCCCATTTCTGGGCCCCGCCGTGATATTGCTGGAATACTGCTAAAAGCGGCTTAAAACTAAACTCACTCACTCGTCTAAGCATGCAGTCACTGTCTGCTGCGGTATGCTTTTAGATTATTTATTGGGTTGTTTATGAATTTTGTAAAATAAATACATTTGCAGATGCAAAGCCTGTAAAATGGTCATCCTGTTCGTGACAACTCGACATCGAGCATCACCATGAAGGGGATGGCCCCTTGGTTGCACGTTCCTTCAGTGTGTCTCAGTGTGTAAACATTCATCACGATTTTATTCATGAATATATCAGATAGAAGTCATGACTATGCATGGTGATAATGAGTATCCATAGCAACCAGCTATAATGTATATTTAACCGGGAAGTTTAATAAGCACCTTATGAAACACGCTACTTTAGGTATGTTGTTCATATGACATGTGACAGATTGAAATTAAAAGGCTTCCTTGTTTGTTTACTTGTTTAACGCCGTACTGCATGGACAGTTATTTGTAAATAATCGAGTCTGGACCACACAATCCGGTGATTGACACCAAGAGCATCGATCTACCCAATTGGGATACGATGACATGCGTCAACCAAGTTAGCTAGGCTGACCACTCGGTCCCGTTAGTCACCTCTTACATTAACAAGCATGGGTTGCTGAACACCAATTTTAACCCGATCATCACGAGTTGTTTTTAAAGAGTATTTGGACTATTGTCTTGGGCCGCGAATGATAAAATCTGAGACACTGTCAGTCACACCTTCCCGTATCCCGCCAGCCCGCCATTCGTGTTTTCTCGTCTTGAGAGATCTTATACCCCTTTGACAGATACCTTAAAGGTCACATGCAACGTAAAACACAACTTTGCAGATTCTGATACCTTTCGGTATGGACTTACCGAAACAAATCGTCAAAAATGCAAATTCATCTTATAAAGTTGAAAAATAACGCGATGAAAAAAAACGCGCGAAATCGGAGTTCAAACGTTTCACTAATTTTCCCCAGACTTTTCTGGGGAATACGGGTTTCAACAGCTGGGCTGCGCTCATAGCACGTGCGCAGTGAAATAGGTTCGCGCAACTTGGAAGCGGGCTGTCTGGTGAATACTCGGTGAAGGCTTTGGTGTGAGCTATTTTCATAATGTTTTGTTGATATCTCACAAGCGCGAGCTTTTATATGTTATGACAGTAAATAAACTGTTTATATAATTTCATTTGTCTATTTCACCACACGTTCTTCTTACCGAGTCACTTTCTCAGTTCGATACTTAAAAGCAATGTCATTATTTAGCGTTGACACAATTTCTAACTGTGATATAGATATGTCGCTGTCACAGACAAAACTCAATGTCTTGTTTTATTGACACCTGTGTGTCTGCCTGCCTGTCTGCTAATGACAATATTCAATACACAACTGCGATCACTGACCGCATGCAATTTGAACTTAACACCAATCAGGCTATACACCATAAACAAATCGCACTGATTTATGGCCCGAGTTCGGTCTCTGTCACATTATGTAATTACACAGACAGGCAGGTCTGATACTTGAACACATGACATGTTATGATGTCTGTTGATTGCAAAATGTTATACATAAAAAATGAGCATGTATTTACAAAACCCAACATCTCTATATATACACACACAATGAGCCGTGAAGACGGCATCTGCTAATGAACCAGCCGTTACACTTGAGTGCACACCCACCCGCTCTGACTGGGCTCGGTATCCCGGCTGCTTCGTTTCGAGGGAGGTAAACCCAAGTACAAAATATTGCACTTTTGATTTGCGATTATACGCTTATAATTTTGTTTATTTGTATTTTCATAATCAGCAATGCATATTATATGTCATGAAGAAGTGATAATTGTGTTTTAATTATGTTTGATTTTTTGGTTGCATGTGACCTTTAATATCACAAATACCACGGTCGAGTCCTCCAGTAACCCAATATTTGTTACCTATGTTGTAAAATGGAATTGCCACCGTGCCCCATTTGTCAGACGCAAAATATATATTATGAAATACTTTCATTGTGCTTCGGGGCGGTTGGGTAGCCTCGTCATGCCGATGACCCTGGTTCGATTCCCCACATGGGTAGGCCTAGTGTGTGAAGCCAATCTCTGGTGTCCCCCCGCCGTGATATTGCTGATAAACGCGGCGTAAAACTACACTCACTCATTGTGCTTCATAATCTTTAACAGCAACATAAACAATTCAACAGCAACGAACGTATTAATAAGTCAAGAAATTTATTTGGAATCTGTACGTCTAGCAATTGTGACGTTTTGATGTTGTTGTGCCCTTTCGTATTGAATAAACATCGATAGGCAAGAATAATTAGCCAGAACAAATACATGTATGAGCTGAATTTGTGTCAAAAATTGTCAGTGCCAAAACGTGCTCTTGCTGTAGAAGGGATTTTGAAGGTGTTCCTGCAAGGGGCTTGCCTCTCTACGGAAGCGCTGAAGGGACCTCATGAAATAAAAATTATCTTGAGCGCACAAGTTAATATCTTGTGCGCTCAAGTTAGTATCTTGAGCGCTCAAGTTAGTATCTTGAGCGCACAAGTTAGTATCTTGAGCGCACAAGTTAGTATCTTGTGCGCATAAGTTAATATGTTGAGCGCTCAACTTCGTGTTTAGCATCTAATGGCATTAATGGAACGCACATTTGCTTGACTGCTGGCTAAAATGTACAAACTTATATCCTTTTGGGAAGATTTCAAACGATGCAAAGTCGGAGTTAACTATAGGTGTTTATGATGAGACTATGTAAAAGTATGCAAATGTATCATGAACATTGATAATGTTTATCATGTAAACGTTCATCGTCTTTATGCTTGTCAATACTATTCTTTGTATCTGATTTTACCACTTTTTGCTTTATTACAAAAAGCAGGCCTAGGTATGTGTCATGTCATAATAAGAATTCAAACATAAACATGAGTAGGAGTTTATTGCAGGGATGAATAGTGGTTTTACTTACTTCTTATATTGGTACATAGTATTATGAACACTTGGATAACTTGTTTTTTGCTACGGCTTTATTTTGTATATATAGTATTACATGACCCTGAAAAATGTAAACATTGAGTGTTATACTTAATTATCTTAATTATAAAACTAATGTCTGATGTATTGGAAGTAAAGTCGACCACTTTCAGGGAACTATAGTTTGTAGTCTTGGTATGCATGTATCAGTAATGTTTCTAACGTGGGTACAATGGCAGTTTAACTTTGTACAATATCATTTAAAACCCGCCTGATTTATTTGATCCATTAGTATGTGCACGTATAGCATATATACCGACTTTATTTCTTACTAAAATACCGTGTTCCCGTTTCACTTCTTCCGTATCAATCCCTTATATGTATACGTATGTGTGTTGTAGTTTATTTAACATGTTTTAACAACACAGGAAGTTGAAGAATAAAGACGCCGATGAAGACAGTGTCCTGAGCGAAATTCAACACATTCGGGTCCACTAACGACTGTACAGTATCCTGTTTCACGATTAAACCGCATTGGATACATTTTGATACATCAACGATAACCATGTCTTTGTTCAGATCGTCGAAGTCGTCCGCAATAAAGTATGTAACATCAGCGCGGCGGTGGGGTAGCCTCGTGGTTAAAGCGTCCGCTCGTCACGCCTGGGTTCGATTCCCCACATGGGTACAATGTGCAGCCCATTTCTCGTGTTCCCCACCGTGATATTGCTGGAATATTGCTAAAAGCGGTGTAAACCGTATTCACTCACTCACTGTAACATCAGCAAATCTGGTATCTGGTGCGAAGAGGACATACTCCTCAGAATAGCTTCACTCATACTATACCGATGACCCTGAGTTTTGACAAGAAGATGGGTGTTATGTGTGTAGCCAATATCTGGAACCCAAGACGTGATATAAGCATGAATCAGCTCGGTTTCGTCCTCCTACACCACACTGCATATGAAGCAGTGTATCTCAATAATCTTTAAGCGCTCAACATAAACAACGTGTGCAGCAACAAGATACGTATTAATGCGCTCAAGATATTTATTTGGCACTCTGATACGTCTAGTGCTCAAGATACTAACGTTTTCATTTTGTGCCTTTCGCATTGAAGATAACTATCGATAGGCTCAAGATATTAATTGTGCCAGAACAAATACATGTATGCTCAATATACTTTTGTGCGCAAAAGATTGTCAGTGCCAAAACGCGCTCAAGATACTAACTTGTGCGCTCAAGATAGAAGGATTTTCAAGGTGTTCCTTCAAGGCTTCCGTACCTCTCTGTATGTAAGAGGATATTAAAATAAAATGTCTGCAAACATGACATGTCTGTGACAAAGTCAAATATGTCTCACAATATATGATTATATTTAGTAAAGACATGTCAATTAAGTTAACTCTGTATTCTCGTTAAGCTATACCACATGAAACCTGGCAGGAGAGTGGTCCTCACCTCCGGAAATTGCCGTTCGTTTTCCAGCAGCCCTTGTCGAGGCCTCATTCGACTTCGTGACGAATGTCCCCACATGATGTCTGGTACAAGGGAGGTAACTCTGGGAACATCTCTAGTTGAACTTTGACCACATCTGTCCGGAAGACTGCAAGTGAGTGGCAAGCCAACATTAGTCTCGTTTATACCACACACTAATGAGCACAAATAATGTCAGCGCTTTCATTTGATGTCATTTTGACAGGAAAATACTTTCTTCAAACTTCATGTCAGTGGTGTTCGAATATTTTGAGCCAAATGTATATGGTAGTCTGCCTACCTATCGTTTCATCGGCTGGCCAGACTTGCTTATCGATATATGTCACTGTAAACCAATATCGATGCTCCTGATATCAATCACTGGATTGTCTGGTCCAGACTCGATATTTTACACAGTCATGATATATATGTCTCCAGGTGTTGGTTTAAGGATGATGACATGGCACATCATCAACATTGTAGGGCCTAACCTGGTTGCCTAATCACTTTGAGCAGATATGCTTATCACAGTAATCCTCTGTCACATACTTACCGAACATATATTTGAGTGTCTTGTTCAGAGTTTCTACTACACCATCAGACTGTGGGCGATACAAGCTGCCCTGTCTTACTAATTGGTGGTGGGTTGGTGTGGAGGTATCTGCCATATCTACCAGGAGTTTCACATAGCATATTCTGACAGCAAAACTGCCACAATTTCTCACAGTCCAGCTATCATGAGAACCCATCAATAAGCCATCAGTATAGGCGGGAAAAATATGGTAGAGAAAATATGTTCCTATTTATCAACCAAATCACATATACCCATATCTAATATTCTTACGGTGTTCCCCGGTGTGATATTGCTGGAATATTGCTAAAAGCAGCATAAAACTAAACTCACTCATTCACTAATATACTTATGGATGCTTTTCATCACCCAGCCACTGTATCTTGATCCAGTCTGACCTGACATCGCTTATTCCTGATATAACATAAGTCTCAAATCACCACCATGACTGACAACTATACTACACATCAAAAGTTTAGACTCACCTAAAGCACTCACTACATGTTATGTTCATATATATGGTTACATCGAAGATGAATTCTCCACTAACCTCGGGGAACCAACTGCAAACTTTATGCAGATGAATTGTACGAGGATTATTGCTGAAAAGCACGTGCAAATATCGTTCATGTGAACAGCTGCGTTTTGGTGTAAAGTTTTGTTAAGAATTCGCTGATTTTCATCATTTACTGAATTCATGACAATAATCTTTTCAACGTTCCAAATTTGCTTTACAATACATTAGTTCATGTGTAAACAGTACCATTAAACTGAATGGGATATTTTGCAAAATCCAGTTTAGACTATAGAACAGTTGACTGAAGTAAGTGTCTACATTTACACTAGTGAGTCTAAAGTTTTGCTGGGTAGTATAGTTGTGGTTGGTTTGTATCAGATATGTTAATGTACAATGTGATGCATCATGCCCAGAAGCAACAAGACTGTTGCTGACTGAGTACGTTTACAGGACGTCGTGCTGTGGGATGCACTGTACACGACACTTGTGTCACGCTGCCAAGATGGCTTTCCAGACACCTCCAGAAGTGATTTTCAGAAATGTTCTCAGGTAATGTTTTTTTTTATGGAGCTATGATTTTTTTCCATTGCTAATAAATGAAAAGATCACTCAGTGTCAGTTGCTGTTATCTCTCTAATGTCAGCTATACTCACAAGCATCAGGATTACCTGTGGTTTTAATCATGAGGTAACCTGACACACTTTTCGTCATGTTAGGCACATAAGTAAGTCACAAAGGTCAATAATATTGTCTTGTTAATCTGCTGATGGTTTTCCCAGACACCACAAGACAGTGACAGCAAGCCGGACTGCTTCAAGTGGAAGTGGACTGCCCAGTCACTACCAGGCTGCAGTACTGAAGGATCTGGGACAACCGATGGTGGTGCAAATGCTGCCTATGCCCACAAACATCAAGAAAGATCAGGTACAACCTCACTTGGGATACATGGGTCAATCAAAACATCTTCTTTATGATTTGTTACCCATGTATGGGACTCCCTTGTGATTATGGTATAATCCCCAGCATTCCTCTCTGTTGTTAGATATGTGTATGTTGGATATGTACACCCCTCATGTTCACTCACTCACTCATGGGGACGGTGGGGTAGCCTAGTGGTTAAAACGTCCGCCTGTCACGCTGAAGACACGTGTTTCATTCTCAACATGGGTACAATGTGTGAAGCCCATTTCTGGTGTCCCCTGCCGTGATATTGCTGGAATATTGCGTAAAACCATACTCACTCACTCTCTTACTTATGGTTTCAGATACTGGTGGAGGTTGAAGCGGCAGCAGTCAACTTTGCGGACATTTTGAAGGCAGCTGGACAATATCAGGTGAAGGCCACAGTGCCCTATGTCCCAGGTGAGGTTCCACAGGAAGCAGCGCTTAATTACTTAATTGACTGACCGATTAAATTGATATATGAAATATGTAATTTAGCCATCAAATGTCAGCTTTGAAAAAGGGATACAGAAAGTCCAATTTCTGCTGAAGAAAACCATCACAGAACACAAATATGTCCTCCCTAATGGGTTCAGATGAGATGGTACTCACAAACTACAGGATGCATAAATGTCCACATAATGCAGCAGCATGAATTCTTATGGAAGTCTTCAGATCTACACATAGAGAAAGATCTGATCCTGTGACAACATAAACAAGGTCTCAAGCTATTAAGGGGACAGTGGTGGTCCTTTAACGATGTTAGGAATACCAGCACACCATATAGGGGTTTCTAGAGAGTCCTGAAATACTATTCTAAATGATATTGATCACCAGTCACTCAAGTATAAGGCAAGTACAACTACATTGATACAGAGTGTATGAGGACAATCATCCCCAATCTAAACTGGGTGTGGTTGTGTCGGTAGGTGTGGAGCTGTGTGGTCATGTAAGAGCAGTTGGCGAAGGTGTGAAAAACTTCCACACAGGACAGAAGGTGGTGGGTCTGGCTTCCAAGGTAGATGGAGCCTTCGCTGAATACTGCCTGCTGAATACACAGGTAGACAGTCTCTCAGTAGTAAAAATCTCTATATTCAACATATTTTCCAGTTTATATCCCACTTTGAATATTTCTAAGCAAACCTGTTTTCTCTTTTGGAAAAAACCAATGCTTTCTGATGTGAAAGCAGAAACTGTATATGTTATATAAATAATGACTGATTAATCCATGTTGTGTGTTCCTGGTAGAGTGTTCTCCCAGTGCCTGAAGCCATGTCTGCTGTAACAGCCGCCTCCATGGTTATTTCCTATGGAACTTCCATGATGGCTTTGACCCTCACGGCCAAGGTCAAGGCTGGGTACGTGGGAAATCTTTTCCAAGTCAGAAGTCAGATGTTTATATGTATGATGCTAGACATAATTTGGGATACTGAAATGTTAAATCTTGTTTGATAATTAAAAGAACATTTTACAGAGTTACCGAATATAGTTTACTTAGAATAAATTACATCATGTGCTTTTTCGATTTTGTTTTCATTCATGTAACAGCTGAGAACGGAATATGGACCCCAAGGAAGTGTCACTACATTAGCAACTTGTGACAGATGAGATGGCAATGTGGGGTTTTGATGACTGTAAGACAGATGTATGTTGTAGTGAGACGGTGTTGGTAACGGCAGCAGCAGGGGCAACAGGGATGGCTGCCGTGGATATTGCAGCTCATGTCCTGGGTACAGAGGTATTGTTACTCCTTTCTCATATTTAACTCATGTACATAAATAAAGTAGTGTTGAAGTGTTAAAAAAGATTGAAAGGGAACCAAACATGTTGAAATGACCATGAAAATAACATGTCCTTGATAATAGTTGTTTGGCAGTTAGGGACCGTTCATAATTTATGGCTAAGGGGGTTGATGATTTTTATGGAGAAGCATGTACAATGTGAATGACACCCCAGACCCCCCCTTTTAATATTTATGTACAAAGTGACCACCCCTCCCCTCCCTGCATGTCATGTGCAAAATGAATGATCACTCCCAAGGTACATGTGTACCAAATTGATGACCTCCCCCTCCCCAGAACAAAATGAAGATCCTGGCAGGACTCCATGTGGATTCCATGACATCTGAAAATATTTCCCATCTTATGTGGATTTTAAGATGACTTGGCCACAAGTGTAATCAATAATGAACATGCTTAATTTTGCTTAAACGTCACTATCCTAAATCTCAAGGCTGGTTGGCCTTGTACATAGCTTTCATTTTAAGTTTTCACTTTACATTTTTTTTCTTTCTAACTGTATCCATGTTTTTCATTGTCAGAAGTCCAAGAAAAATGGCATGTTGTCAGCCTTGTGAACATGTCTCATAATTTTCAAATTATTGAACTTCATAATCAGTCATTCTGGAAAATCATAATCAGAGAGCCAAAAATGTCCCATATGCTAACTGTTTTGAAATTGAAGTAAAGATAGCTAAAGATTGCTTTTAGTTAAATAGTAAAGTTTGAGTACCTTGTGCACCAGGTGATTGCAGTTTGTGGAGGAGCTGAGAAGTGTGCTCTGGCCAGGGAAAGAGGGGCTCACCACACAATAGACTACAACAGTGAGAATTTGCGAGAGAAAGTCAAAGAAATCACAAAAGGTCGAGGAGTTAATGTTGTTTTGGATCAGGTTGGGGGAGATATCTTTCTGCAATGTCTAAAAAGGTTTGTTGTACTTCTCTAAATAGTGACTACTAGCTTGACACACACAATTAAGACCTCATTATCGGCCTCCTTTTTGACACAAACAGTTTGACTATAAATATCTTGAAAAATCAATACATTTCTCATGAAGTTCACCAAGATGCCTTGATTGATATTACTTCATTGAACCAACTTACCAAGGCAGTTGTCATCCACCTATATTTCATTCATTACATGGGACTTATTTTTACTTTTCATGAAAGACTTCATTGAACTTGTCTTAATTTCATCTAGTTCCAGATTTATGTATTTTTACTTGATGAAGCGATATGACATTCATATCCTCATTTAAGAAAGTGTTTTCCGTATGAAGTATTGCAGAGGAAGGTCGACTGGTGACTGTTGGTTATGCATCAGGGAAAATCCCATCAATACCTGCTAACCTGCTGCTGCTCAAGTCCTGCTCCGTCCACGGTGTGTTTTGGGGGAACACTGCTGTCACCAACCCTCCAGCTTTCTCTAAGTCAATACAGGACACAATGACAGCACTTCAGCAAGGAAAAATAAAACCTTACTGTGGACAAACATTTCCTCTAAATCAGGTTAGTAATGTCTGTAACTGCTCCATTCATTGCCAAAAAATAAACCAGAATCTGTGCATCTCATTTATAATCCTGCAGCATGCTCGAGGAACAATTTTACAACCATGATGATATGTTGGCTTTGAACAGATTTTTTATATTCCAAATCATTATTTGTACTGAGTCAGATAATCAACAAGAAGGAAAAAAACGTTGATTGATGCATTTTGTTTCCAGGTAAATGAAGCATTTGACCTGGTGAAATCAAGAAAGTCAACAGGAAAAGTGATTATTACTCCCAGTCTTAACGCTTGAAACTATTTCATTGAATAAAAGATAATATATTACTTATGTATAGTATATAACTTTCATTCTTTGGATCTTAAATAGTCAGATTAGGTACCAAGGGAATTTTGCATGGAAAACTTTGGACAGCATTCTGTACAAAACCAAAATATAAATTTTATGCCAGTAGGCTAAATCTTATGTAACAAGTAATAACAAAGCTTATAAAAGTTTCCTAAAGGTTTGAGGAAACCACTGTAATGCCAGTTCAAGCTACCATGTATATAGTTTAATTGATGATGATATAGACCTGTCAGTTTGCATATCCCAACCCATGCAATGTCCTCTCTTGGTGGTACCAGACTTGTATTAAACAGTAAAACTATTGGAACATTTATTAGACCCTGACATGAATATGTCATGAACACATGTAAGAGAATATCTGGGGAGTGTGTCTGTGGATCCATTCTTATGTGTGTTTGTATTGATTGCTACATATATTGAAATAAAACACAAACATGAATGTGTGCAACCACTTTCTTTATTTGCACCTGCAAATGGCAAAAAGAATCAAGTCTGTTATTTTCCTGGCATAGTCTTACAACCAGTGAAAGACAAATGATTTTATTCTGGACATGTAACTTAGTCCACATACCAATTAAAGTTTAACAATAGTAACTTAATATATACTCCTTGTAATTAAGTATATTTCACTGTTTCAAGTGGCTAAGAACACCAAGTAAGACTGTGCTGGAAAGTATCAGACTTGATGTCTCACCCTGCGAAAGGGCCCATGCTTCCCCCCATCACTCCCCAATAATTCCTACCGGTACATGTAGTACAACTACTGAAGCTAATCAGTGTTCAGCTTCTTAGGCCTCTTAGATTTACTAACTTGGTTCACATTTTTTCCAAAACCCAGACAGGGCTGGTTGTCACAACTGAAATTTAAACATATGCCTAAAAACATTTTTTTCAATTTCTCAGTTGAGTTGAGAATCTGCAGGATTATTTCCCTTCCCACATTGACATACCATTAAGAACGATATTATTTTGTGTATTTGTAAAAGTTTGGGTTGGCCAATTCACAAACCAAGTAAGTAAACATAGATGCCTTATATGGAAACATACATAGCTGTAAGAGAGTCAAAGACAACCATGATATGCTTCACAGTCAAGGCTTAAGTAATACCTTCCACCAGAAAACATAAAAGTAGGACAAAATTTCACCTTCACTTAGTTTTGGCTGATAAATAAAACCAATAAAATAATCATGGATTTTTTTCGGTTGTAACATTTTAAAATAATCTAAATAAATCATTTCAATGTTTATTTCATAATGTTAAGTTAAAATCTAATCTTAGATTTCAAACTAATTTGAATCTGTAAGATAGCAACCCTATATCATATCACTGAATAGAGGCTAGAACTGAAAGCAACAATCATCTTTTGTCATGTATTCATAAACTGTCTAAAATGATGTACAAAGCTAAAATAAACATTTTTACTTGTGGTTAGGCAAAACTGTAGAGAAAGTAAACAAGTAAAATTAAGCCAATCCTTTATACTTTTCCCATTTTCATAAAACATTCACTGAATCAGCTGGCAGAACAGATTATACCTTGCTAATAAAAAAAGCATAGTATATGTAAATGTTTGTTAACGCTGCATGACATGTAATGAAACAACTTGTGAAAATGAACCATATCAAAAATAGAAAGTTTTAACATCACAAAGGGACAAACATCTTTGAATTCATCACTTGAAATATATCATTTAACAGGCTAATATCTCTTTAGCACAGGGATATAACTTAAATCACAGTTGTTAAGTTTGATCATTTAAAACATCTTTATTATCCTCTCCTGGAGGGTATCATGCTTAAAACACATTTGCAGGTGTCTACAACCACATTAATTTCCAAACTTATTGAGGTTTATCATCTGTCTTAAGATGGCTTATAAGATGGAGCAATTATGACCCAGTGGTTGGTTACTTTGCAAATCCAGTCTTCAGTTCTCATACTCAAAGGTAGAAGTGAGGTCTTGTGATGAATCATGTTTTTGAGATGAATCATGTCTTAGTCAATTTGCTTGAACACAAAGAGAGTAAATTCCTGTCTGAATACAATGATCATTTGAAGTGTTTGCATGTTTCCTTGAGCCTACTGCAGTCACTGCCATAGAAACCAGTTATAGGTAGTTGCCACTCTTTCACCATCCTAGCCCTCTGACTGGCCGCTCCATCCCTTCTCTGGTCGGTTGGTTGTTGTCTGGCTCGGAGCACTGGATTGGTTCCTGGTCATTGTGTAAGACCATGCTCCACTTATTCTCAGCGTTTTCTGCAAATCAATTTTCAGAAAGAGTCTATCATATGTTACAAAATATCCGTCATTTGATAATGCTCACTGCATTGAGATAGGAGAAAAGTATGTCATTATTTTTCATTAAAGGAATGTTGTCTCTATAGACTTTTTATACATACATAATATAATATATATATATAATATAATGTATATAATTCGTCACAATGTTGTCATGAAAAAAACCCACATTATTACTTGCCCAAGTGAAAATACTACTGGTTAGTAACTATAACACATTGGGAGTGTGCTCATGTACTGCTGGAACACAACAAATATAGGAAACTAGAGAACTGTCGGAAATAGAAAACAACTGTTTATAGGCTGTTACTCTGTATCCCTAAAATGTACACAGTTGCAAATAGCGTATGTCGAAATAACCCACATTGGCCTAACTGGGCATTCAGAGAGATGCGTAATAGGATATCCAGAAAAGCATGTTTACTCGTAAAATCGGGCAAAACTTAGAAAAAATATGAATAGCTGCTGAAAACAATAGATCAGACTATAGATGGCAATTAGGTCACTCCGCCAGGTATGACGACGGACCGTCGGCTCACTTGGCATGAAATGCACGAGCAGCCCACAGGCACAAGGGGTCATCTCAAAGATATTTTATGATTTTTCTTGTGTATTGAATATGTCTCTATTGATTATCTTATCTTAACTGATATCTTAGTACCCCAGCCCGACCCCAACCACCCTCTGCGACACTTGTCATGGTTTTGCTTTTGAGACAACCCCTCCTACCTGTTTCTTTTTATGGTGATAGTGAGACGCCATGCTAGCTACATCTTTAATAGTTTCAGTATTAAAGTTATTATTTTTTACGTCTGCTATTGTTTATAATGAAGCTAAGTCTAATTTCAAAATGATCATTTAAAAAGTGTCCTTTGTAATACAATATCATCGCACACTAATTTGCATAAAGCCATGGTCTGTTCTAAATAAGTTGCATTGGACTTAGAAAACCCCGCATTGCTCATTTCTGCACTAATCTCTCTTCAATAAAATCCTTCTTTTATATTTCCTAACTCCCTCCCACTGTGGCTGTAGTTAGGCCGAACTTAGTTTAAAAGATATTCCACACTTTCACATATTAACTACCTAAATTATAGATATAAATGTGAAAAAGCATTTTTATTCTATTTCTGACAGTACTTTAGTAAAATCCTAGGCTTATTCCTTGACATTGGGTGTGAAGATGTTTGATAACTTAGAGGCGATTGTACACACTCGATGATCCCATCAACACTCTTACGACACCGTTACTATCTTTTCACTATCGGGACAACTTGCAAGCCTGGCAAATAAAGCAATATAAGTCGTTTCAAGAGTAGCCAGCCACCAAATATTTTGTTCAATTTATGGCATTCAAAAATTTGGACGGCATATTATTTTTGTGGTCATAACAAGAAGACAATATGTTTTAAAAAGGATTGTGCATATAGTGCAAAAACCTTAAGCAAGACATTTAGATATATTGGTTGAAGCTTTATGTGTCCAGTGAAGACAAACTCATGCCTGTGATATCAATGGTGTACTGAAGACCTATAAAGCCAACAAAAACACACATCTAAGCTACTGTGCAAATACACTGTACACTGTTAATATTTAAAATATTTATTCAAATTGATAAAAAGAGCCAGTGCATGCAAAGAAAATGCCCAAAACATCCTACCACAGGTGAAACAATTCAATGCCAGAGTCAAATGTTGTTAGAACTAAAACGTCTGCAAGACTGTAAGCATTATAATGGGTTAATAACTGGACATCCCACTGATAGGATTTTGTGCAGGGGTGCTAAAATAAAGATAGCATCTATGTAAGTCTAACAAGTTCAAACATTTGGTTAATGATGTTTCTCATGGAAGCTAAAACACAATGAAAAAGTTTATGCAAATGAATGCAGCATGCAGTATCATTTATCAGAACATGGTGTTGATACCTGTGTGATAATTTCATTTACAGTCCGTTTGGGATATTAGGCATTCCTTCAAAATATTTCAATCAGTTTGCAGGCTCTTGGTATCATTTTTGTAAGAATTTGTTTGTTTGTTAATCATACTATTGTTTTTCTTTCAGCAAGTCTATTCTGGCAATATCTATGAAAAAGCTTCTAAATATTACTCTTGGGAAAAGTTACTTTACAAGTGTTAAGGAAATTGAAGGAAACTGATTAGTATGGAAGCTGCACACTCAACAATAATGCAAAAAGTGCTAGAGAAACTAAATGAAATAAAAGATAAATACCTGTGATCTAGATAAACCATTGAGACTGCGAGACATTCAAACTCACTTAGAGCCAAAGATGAGATCTGCATCAGGGGCTCCCTTGGGATGAGAGTATCGGATACGACGCTCACGATTTGTGTTTACAGGCACTGGTCTGTTGAGGGAGGCCATCATTTCTGTGGACAAAAAAAGCCAATTCCACGTATCATGAATGAACATCCACAGTCAATGCCACTCTTATATATGAGCTTAATTCAGCTGTAAACATACATAATCATGTAAATATGCTGACATTACCTACTCACCAGGGTCAGTAAAATGAATAAAACAAAAGGATTTGTTGAAATCAGAAGTGAGCACTAACAAGATTTACTCTGCCTATTTAATGCAGAACTCAGCAATTTTCCAGCTCTATCACAATGGTTGGTTCAATCAAGTCAGCAAGCCTGACCACCCGATCTTGTAAATCTCCTCTTACGATTAGCATGGGTTGCTGAAGACCAATTCCAACCTTCACAGGCGCTTTCACAATAGCCTATAAAGACATGTAATAGTGTTTGGGTCAAACTGGGCAAGGCGAACCCAGATTTTATAAAATAAACAACTGGGGTTTAGTGAAGTCAATGACAATATTGGGGTTTAGTGAAGTCAATAAGGCTGGGTTTTCAGGGAAACTAGTCTGGCTCCCTTATATCTGTGTGTCTTACCCTGATAGTCCTCCTCCTCCTGCCTCTGCTGTATGCCCAACACAACCTGCTTCATCTTTTCCTTCTCCATCTTCTCTGCCTACAATAACAGCACATTCTGATAGTCATCCAGCACAAACACATAAGTAGAGCTGTCCCTCAATACAAGATACTACTCACAACAAGAATCTGCCCAGATATCAAGTTTTGACAACTCTTGCAGTACTACTTGCTGTTGTAGCTCAGTGACTGTCCAGGAAAGGTGCTGAACTTGAGTTTGGGGTGAAGAATGAACATTTCAACCTTCAGAAAGATTTGTGCAGAGGTTTAAGAGAAATTCCATGCTAAGGTTCATCTCTGCTCACTGTAAATCATGAAAAAAGAGGTCCCAAAACTAGCTGGAGTGTCAACCCCTGGCCTAAAGGGCATCCCAAGAATTTTATAATGATAGCCCTGTCTTTGAACTACAAAAACTAATGAATGATAACACCAAGACAGTAGACCCATAATTCCATGGGATCTCAGCAGTGTGAATGAATAAAAATATTTGGTTTCTCACAATTGCAATTTCAGTGGCTTGACATACAATTTCAATGACCCTGTTCAAACAGGGAGAGTCTGGTCACCAACGAAGACTGAACAGCTTCCAAGTGTTTTTAAATAATTTCACACAATCCTTTGAACTTAAATATGTAATGTATTCACAACAACTGCTGTTGCTGTATTCAACATTTTCAAGGTGTGAGTGTGCATTGTCTTGTTTGTTATTTGACATGATTACCACAAACACATGACATAAAACTTCGTGAAAAGCTTTTATATATATTACTGCAAGCACTCTAATGTTTCAAATTAATTTCAGGATTTACAGTATATATGTATTCATGCAACAATGTCTGCCCTTTTCAGTTTCCATACCTGTTCTCTTTCTTTGAATTTGGCAGCAAACTCAGCAGATATTGGTACATTCAGGTTTGTGAACTGTAGAGAGAATAGTTCGGAAGATATAACTACACAATTTGTAAATAATTTACTGGAAACCGATGTTAACAACAGCATTTGGAAGATATTTTCTTTGGCTATAAAATGTCAATGGCAACTGAAAGGTTGACCGGGTCTTCTGACCAAATTAGCAATTTGAAGTGCTCACCTGTGCTTTGTTGCCTTTCCTTGTCATCAATACAAAGTTAATGGCTGTATCCACTTCAGGAACAGGCTGTGTAACACCTACATCAACATTTTATAGAATTAAGTATTGAGACAGCAGAAGGAATTGTCCATAGATATCTCATTCCTTGACATTTATGATCCACTATGTAAATGATGTTATTTATCCACTTATTTCATTCTTTAGCTGAGGCCCATTTATTATAGTCCTCATGCTGAGGCCCATTTATTAAAGTCCTCACTAAGTCCATCTTGCATATAGGTCGAGTACAGCAAGGAATAGGAAAAGATAATTTGTTCAACATCATAAAGGAGGCATTGCATCAAGAATGCTCCAACAGCTCAGGGGAATGATGACACTGTTTTGATAAGAATGACCTACCTGTGCCAGTGCCTGGAACAGTCTTCTTAGTCTTGCTTCGCAGGTGAACAGGCATAGCAATGTCAAGCTGGGGAACCTTCAGAGATTCCTGGGCACGAGCCTATCAGCAGATAGAGCATTAAATAAAAGTCATATCTTGCTATCAATCATGAACTATTACCAGCAATACACAACAGAAACACTGATATTATTATCTTTGTCGATGTCTGTCTTGTAGCTTGTTGGCATCAAAACCATCATGAATCTTATTGATAGAATGAAAATGTGTTTTTAAGTGATATCTACTTTTCTAGTACCAACAAGAATGTTAAACAATGAGATAAAATCAGCCATTTTGGAAATATAAATCCAGACTAAAAAAGTCACCTGAATATTTTCAGACATCATTTTGTCAAAGGCAGTCATGAAGTCATCATCTTCTTGACATACAATGCGTTTTGGAGCACCAGTCACCAAAGTTATCTGAAAGAGGCAGTTCTTAACTAAAATAGAGGTAATATCACATTTTACATGCTTCAGATGAAGATATTATTAAAAAGTGAAGGTATTCAACATCTAACAAATGAATGATCCAATGCTGTATAATACAGTAGTCCCCATTATTCCAACTATATCACTTTTGTAAATAATCCAATCTGTGATTGAAAGCATCTGTAGTGATCCATGCTATTCCAGTATATAAAACCCTTGACATTATCTGTGAGAGTAAGACAAGTGGATGTAAATCTCTGCATGCATGCTCAGTGAGTCCAGGTGCAGAGCTACTAAAATGGCAGCATCTTACACCTGCCCCACATATCCATGGCAAGTGAACTGAGGATGTGAACCTAGTTGACATGAAAGATGTGGCAAGACCTTGCTCCTGACAGACACAACAGCAGTTATCTTGGATAGGTTATAGTGTGAGGACAGCCACTACACAATCATAATGGCTATAATGTAATAGAAGTAGTGTCTTTGTAGGAATAACTTTTCATTGGATAGATCTTTAAAATTCCTGGCATTTTACAAGAACTGTGTTTGAAAAATAGCACATTTAAATTCCATCACTTTTCAAGTTTGCATGAACCCTGATGAAGTTTGCTGATTTGATACAGAAAAATCTATGGTTTTCAACTTCACTGTTTTCATATAGGATACAGAATATGTTTTTAAAGGGCTCGCAATACATGGCAGATAAGAGTTGTTCAGGAAGTCATTACAGCAGATATCTAGTTATGAGAGATATTTTTCACTACCTGGTCTTCTGTCTCATCCTCTCCAGCAGACTCAAGGAACTCATCTCTATCACTGTCGTCACTCTCATCCTCGCCCTGAACATCACCAAACATGAACAGTAACAATCAAACAGTAACTGACAACAACATTTCAAAGGAATGCTCATAAGTGTAGCCACTATCGGTTTCATTTTAAATTCCTCTACATATTGATTGCATCATAATATTTACTACCTCACCAAGGTCTGTTTCCAAAAATAGTCTTTACATTTTCATGATTATTAAAGGACAGTAAAACAACAGGCACATAAACTACAAAACAGTCTCAATTGCACATTGCTATGAATTCGTATGTCTGAATTTGCCTTCAACGTGATGTTTCAAAAGTTAAAAGATTCACATTTGTACTTGAACCTTCCTTCAGCAAGCTACACTCACAGCACTAAACTGATGAAAATAAAATATGTAACAATAAAATCTTATTAATCAAAACAAACATTTAAATTTAGAACTCTTTAAAAACTGTATGTCAAACATGACTCAAACACAGACTCACGTCTCTTGTCTGACTTCCAGTCTGGCTGTGACTTTGACCACTCTGGTCATCCTGACTGGACTCTGTGCCATCCTCAAGACGTGACTGAGACAAGCTCTGGCTAAGTTCTTCAACTGAAAGCAACATAGCCACAATGATTAAATCTTTTTATTTATTTCATCATTTTTGGTAACAAACCAGAAACATAAACCCAACTTGTGGTTCTGTGCATGTCTATGTCTCTTAATCTGGTACATTTCACATAACGAAATGCAGCAAAATGTTTAACCACACCTTTAATCTAATATGAATAAATCACATGTGATTCTAGGATATTCATTTTGTTGACCAAGCAATTTTTTAAATCTTTTCACAACTGACAGTTTTCTTACTTTCTTCGTCAGTCTCTTGTATTGGAGTCAGTCCCTCCTCCTCTGACACCTCACTCTCATCACCAGTCTCAATGATTGGCAACAGGTTAGCTGCAACAATTTACACAGAGGCATCTTTATGATTGTAAGTTAACATGGGAAAGTGTTTTCAAACATTATTTTAATGACACTTTTGTTCAGATCTTCTGCTTTACTCTTAACAAATATTGCCCTGTCAACTTAACAAATGTTACTGTCAGCACTGATATTCCCATACTGTCTGCATATATACTGTGGACTAAATGTTCTCTTAGCTGCTGTAAGTTGCCCTTTTGAAAATCAGTACTGACTCTCTTGAACAAATTGAGGAGTGATCATTTGTAGGAACAAGCATGTGAATTTTCAGCTTCATATGTGAGGTGGTTTCTCGGAAGGAGATGTTTATGAACACACAGGCTTGTGCTCACTTGACATTCAGTCAAGAGAGCTCAAAACATAGCAGACTGTTATGGACACATGACATAATGTTTCATGAACAGTTCTGGTAAACTAACAAGAAAATCTTACCAATCTTGGTCTTGTATTCATTTTCAATATCCTCTGCAGCTTTGATAGCTTCCTCCCAGCTGACATAAATCTTCAGCTTGGGTCGGATCATCTCCAGAGTGTCCTTCACTAAGTTCTTCACATCCTGTGGGAATGGACGATGCACTGTCCAGATCTGGTTCTTCATCTTGAACCAGTAGTATCTCTGTTGCAAAACAGAGAGATCAGGAATAAACTCCAGTTTGAATACTTCAGGAAAAATACACCCCTAAGATCAGCATAGTAGCATTATTCCTGTAAGTCTGACTCATGCCGTTTCATTTCAATAGGAATGTTGTTAAGATCAGAAACACACCAGCTACAAGTACCAAGATTTTTCAACTGACATTATACAGGTATTTGTGGTAATGGTCTTCACCTGGAAGTATACGAGGAAGCAGTCAAGTTTCTTCTTGCTGGATCCCTTGTCGAAGTACTGACCACACGTCTCCAGGAGGGTACACACCAACCGCACTCGGAACAAGTGCTCAGGAGGATCCAAGGGAGTAGGATTTTCTGGGACAGAATCATATGATTATCAATTATGTTTGTAAATGTTTTCAGGCACTACTGAAGAGAAATGATTTCTTATAACAATATTTAAGAATTCATGTCTCCATGTTTTATTCCAAACTGATGCAACAGAACAAACTCACCATCCAAGCTAATGCCAAATGTGATGAAAGAGTAGAGAGTCTTGAAGATGACAGCTGACTCCACCATGCGGTAGTTATACAGCTCTCCCAGGTACTTGACGCAACTAACACGCCTCTGGTTGTACTTTGGGTGGTTCACCTGCAAGTTTTGATAATGTTCAGCCCAGCATTTCATGACAGGCTTCTGAGTGATATCAGATGCCACAAATACAAAGTCACCTACACAGAAAGGACTTCTGTATCCACTGATCCTCTGCCATGACATACTTTTAGTAATAAAGGCATTCTGCTACAAGAACTCACATATGTATTTAGTCGTAACTTGGAAGTAACTATACAAAGACTCTGGAACACTTTCTGTACAGATTGTTTGTACAGTTAACAAGACGGTGTAACCACATTCTAACAGAACTAAGAGAAAATAATGAAATGGCACAAAGAATCACATTTTCATAAAACATGTCAAAATGCTATGTATTCAGATAATTTTATGGACCATAAAAATACAAAAGTAAGTTGAAGGGTGTTTACCTCCATTCCTAGTCTAATATCCTCCAATACACCATCTACAACCTGAATAGCAACATGCTCCTGCAAAAAACAACGGATCATGTCAACCAATACGATACCAAATCATTGATGTCATGTTCTGATGACAAACAAGTGAATATGATTATGTAGATAAGGCTTGCAGGAACTGACACTGGTAAGGATCACAATGTGTGGCTTGGCTGATTGTATCCATGTGTCACCAACATGCCATGACTTCTCAGGCTGGTACTCATGCTATCAACCTCTAGTTAGAACAGTCAAGGATGGACTAAAAGCCATATGTCTTAAAACAAGATTTGCTTCTTCTAATGTCAAAGTGAATGTCTGCAATATTATTTTGACATCTCTCTGGTCTGTAAGTGAGTCTGGCACATGCAATACAGTGCTCTCTGGGGTATGACTACACAAATCAAATCAAACAATTTAATGTAGAACACAACACAAATGGATACATACATGATAAGGTGCAAGTCCAGCCAGCAGATTGGCAGCACAGTGTACAGAGTTGTAGCGGATGTTCCACACTGCTGTCAGACACTTGGTTGTGTAGAAGGCAATCTGAGAACACATATCAAAACAAGTTGTCACCTTCGAACATCTCTTTATTATATTGTAGCACAGTATGTTGTTCTAAATTACTGTTGGTATACATCTGAAATATGTACTGTTGTAGGTTCCCACATGGGTGATGTAAGAACAATACTCAGAACATGTGTTGCAATGCATTTTGACCAGAAAAAGCAACAGAAATGGACAAAGAAAGTGTATTTCATGTTTTAAAAGTCAACATTGAGCTTGAAAATTTACACTTCTCCAACTCTGACTATGATGTCATCTTTTTGTCACAATATATGTGTGACATAAGAATAATAGCGATGTGCAGCCACGAATTAACCACTGCATGGCTTGTAGCCTTAAGAAGTTGCTCTGCTTAACACATTAAATGTCTCTCATACAAATATAAGTAATGTAGTGCTTTGTTACCACTAAAAAGAAACACACAGAACACAGTATGTTTAGTGCCTAATTATGTCCAGTGCTCTATAAGGAGATGACACAGTGCATGATTCTTATCATAAGAGTTATTACTGTGTAATAATACAATGTTTGACTTACAGCTACATCGTCCCAGTCTAATTTTCTCATCTGTCTCAGCACCTGAAATGGTGGTCAATCACCAAATAATAATGATGAAAAACTAATCAAATTAAATGCAGCGTAAACGAATTCCTGAGTGTGAGAAACTGTTTGGAAATTACCTTTGCCCTCACTGACAGACATCTAGCACCAAGAACTAGAAAACACTGATGCCATCCAAACATGGTGCCTACACATGGGAGTATTACACTCCATATATGTGAGGATCCCACAAAACTTCTCATGTTGGTAAATAAACATAAGGCTTATGACCATGTACAAATGTCAAAACCTTTTTATGCTTGATAGGTCCTCAGAATGATTACAGAAGAAATCAAGGTTACATGGTAAGCCATCTCTGATGCCCAATGTTGAAAAACAAACAAGAGCTCATGACAATATTGCAGTACTATGTGTCCTGGGCTCAAAACGTATTCCTGTACACGCATATTTATCAACATACTTTGTTTCAATATAAAAGCAAAGTAGTTATTTTTGGTAACTGTATACCCTCTTTAAAATGAATAGGAGCATAAAATGTTACATTACCTTCTCAGTAGTAATTTTAGATAGGTCTTTGTAGAGGAGCTTGCGTATGTACTCGTGCATGGGAGGTCTCTCGATACGAGTCACCTGCTGAAAATCTGGTGGGTTGCTGTAGAAGTAGGCGTTCTCTATCATTGTTGTGTAGCGACTGTCCAGGTGAAGAGCAGCCTTCTTCCTCATCATTACATCCTAAACAAAACATTCATCAATGTTGAGGTTGTCAAGACATGCAAGAGAGAAAGATTGCAATTAGTAAACTGTTCCACAGCTACAAAAGACACTAATGTGAAGTATGAATGTAATATAATTAATAATTCTGCCTGTATTACCAGATATGCTTTCGTCCTGTGATGTGAGTCCATAGATCTGTACAGGAATCGGCCACAGGACTCCAGGAGAGCACAGGCCATCTCAATGTTATGGTGGGAGAAGTCAAACATCAGCATCTGGAAAACAAATATTATGTTTCACAAAATGTTTTCAAATTTAAATGTAATTTTCTGACTAATATTGATATTTTATACTTATCCTGACTTAGATTCTTGAGGGGCATTTAGAAGTTGATAAATATATAAGACGAGTATATGGATTGACAACTTTTTCTTTATTGTATAACACAACGATAATATCACCTGAAAAAAGGGCAAGAAGTAGCCCAGAAACGTCGTGTAATACAATAAAGAAGAATTTGTCATCCATATACTCGTCTTATATTATCCTGACTCATGCTAATTATACTTGTCTCCTTCCTCTTGCGAATGATAGTGGAACACTTGAAATCCCTTGAAGTTCCCTTCTAAAAAAGCAGACAAAAAATCACTCACCCACGAGTAGTGTCCCTTTCCTCCCTTTTGGTGCCCAAATGGTCACATGATCGGCCATATTTGTCACTCTCTCCGTATGTAAGCCCGACACCCGGATTTACAGGGAAATCCAGAGTGCCATAAGAGGGGAGGTTGGGAGGGCTAACCTCATGAGTCAGGGTAAGTATAAAATATAAAATTTTAGTCAGAAAATTACATATTTTTCCTTATCCTGACTCATGCTAATTATGCTTGCAGAATCCGTCGGAAACGGTGGTGGGTCATGCCACGTTCTGGATTCACTGGTTGTAGATTTACGTCCTGTATTACCCCCCTTGGGAACTTATGACGGCACTGTTGAAGATTCTGTTCTTTCAACTTCTCTCTGATGAGTCTGGGGGTACAACAACTTGTCAGATTGCTTCCGAAACTTCTCCTGACATTTTCGTGTGGATTTTAGATATACTAATATTCCATTAGTTATCTATTGCAACTCCATCAGGAGATGCGACCCTTCTTCATGTACAAGTATGTCCTATACAGGTACAGGGTCTATCACTCATGCTAGTCTGTCCTAGACGTGTGCATGGACTTATAGCCATTGCTCTCCAGAGCGTTGGTTTTCACAAGTCACGTGATAAAAGGGGTGAAATTTACTCAATGCCTTTGTGGAACTGTTAGTTGTTGTGCTACAACAAGTGGCCCAAACTGATGAATGCCTGAGATGTCTTCGGTGGCAATGTCTCTGAGGTAGTGGTTGGCAAACACAGTGTTCGATCTCCAACAGCAGCCCTCCATTATAATTGTAATCGAGCAGTTTCCATGCAGAGCAAGTGTTGATGCCAGGGCTCTGACTTCATGTGGATTGAAGGCTCGTGGAGGCTCAACTCCTGCTGCTTTATAGGCCCTTAGTATAACGGCTCTCATCCAGATCGATATCTTTGTCCGAGAGACTTCCGTGGGCGTCTCAGTGGTTAAGGGGATGAATAGGCGCTTGAATTTTCGTCGTCGATCTATCTCTTCTACTGCAACGTAGTTGTCTGCTTGATTTTCTGTAGTACTTGTGGTAGCAGTGCAGGAGGCGGAAACTCGTAAGCGTTTAGTCCTTCCCATGAGGTGCTTAAAGCGTCTGTTGCCCATGCCTGAGGATCTGGAATCGGTGAAACGATATAGTCAGTCTGATGAACTGGAATGCTTCTGGATGCAACATCCATTCCGTCGGGGATGGTTGTAGTGGACGAGATAGGGCGTCTGCTATGAAATTCTTTGCTCCTGGAATGTGGCATGCCTTCATGTAGATGTTCAGGTCGTCGAATATGCTGGACAGGAGAAAGCTGAGTTGTAGCAGACTTGTTGATCTTGTTGACCCTTGTTTGTTGATGTAAAATGCCACTGTGGAGTTGTCCGTGTGTACCATGAGTCGTGCGTTCTTTAGTACGCTGGACCAGTGTTGTAAAGCGTTGATTACTGCTTTCATCTCCAACAGATTGATGTGTGACTCTGATCCTGACTCGACCACTTTCCTGCTGCCACTTCGTTGTTGAAGTGTGCACCCCATCCTTGTAGGGAGGCATCCACGTAGAGATGAGTGTTGCAAACCGGCTCTGACAAAAAGGTTCCTCCGCAAACGTTCGACTTCGAGTCCACCATAGGAGATATGGTTTCAGGCTGTCCGGTAGTATTAACGGATCTAGACTGTCTAGGTGGGCGTTCACAAATACATGTAATGGGCGCAACTGTATTCTCCATCTGCGAGTCATGTCTTGAGCTGAGGTGAGTTGACCGAGCATGCTTTGCCAAGCACGTAGTGTCAACGGAGAGAGCAATGCTTGAGATATCATCTGTTGTATGTTGACCCAACGATCCTCTGGAACAACTATGCGATTCACTGGTGTGATGAGTTGAATTCCTAGAAATTGCAGATCTTGTTTCGGCTTCAGTTCCAACTTGAGGAGATTCACTAGCCATCCTAGTTGAGTGAGCAGTCTGATGGTGAAGTCTAGTTGCAGTCTGAGTTGACTGGGATCGTGATGAGCTTGAATCCCGTCGTCCAGGTAGAAAGCACTGCGTAGACCTCAACGATGTAGATATGTGACAATGGGCTTGGTCACTCGAGTAAACAACCAGGGGGCCGGCGATATTCCAAACGGTAGAACCTTCCACTGGAAGTGTTGTCCGTTGAAAAGCAATCGTAGGTATTTCCTTGAGTCTGGATGTATCGGGATGTGGAGGTACGCATCTTGCAGATCTATGCTGGCGAGGTAGTCTGCTGGACGAACGAGATGTCAGAGCTGAGGAAGATGTATCTGCCTAGAAAATCCTGGTTGAACTTCCTCATGTTGTAGATGAGCTGAAATTTCTCCTTGGAATTCTTCTTCAGTACCAGGAAAACTGGGGAGTAAAACCCGGGCGTGATGAGATCTTGATCTATCTCTTCTACTGCCTCTTTGTCGAGTAGGGTCTTGATAGCATCGTCCAGTTTCTCTATCTGGCCGGCTGCATAGTTGAAGGCCATCAGGCTGCTTGTGAGCGGTGGAGTTGCTTCCAACTGTATCTTGTATAGGGTACAATATACAGTTGGAAGTCACTCCGCCGCTCACAGTGTCAATGGAGAGAGCAACGCTCACAAGCAACCCGATGGCCTTCAACTATGCAGCCGACCAGATAGAGAAACTGGACGATGCTATCAAGACCAGTCGTTCCGAACCTGGCCTTCAGTGCTTGATTCCTCTTGCACCCTAGGTGCTCGGCTCTTCCGGGGTTACCTCTAGGAGCTCCGGTTGGGCGACGAAAGGAGCCTCTTCCTCCTTTCATGCTGTAATACTTCTTTTCTCTGGCTCTCTGGACTCCTGCAAACTTAGATTTATTGGAGTAGCGTTGGGACGTCTGAATCACGTTAGCCAAGGTGTCGATGGATTTAATCATCATAACCTCCCTTGAGTCGTGAGAGACTTCTCTGGGGACTTCTTCAATTCCTCCTCCGAAGATGTAAGATGCTTACCATGGGGCTCTGTATAAGGACTTGGTGAAGCGTTCACTCCAAGTGCATGCTGACAATAACCCTTGTCTTCTCAGGAGAGTCAAGCCCGCTGATGTGGATGCTAGGTGCTCCGACATAAACTGATGGTCCTTCTTCTACATGAGTAGAGCGGAGTATATCATCCGGTCTTCTTCGGCAGAGGAATTCTTGAACTCGAGATGAGTGTTTCGTTGATAGCCCTCGATCTGGCTAATCCGAAGAAAGTACGTCTGGTGCTTGTATCCAGCTGCACTAACTTCTTATCCTCAATCTTGTAAGTTCTCTGACGGGAGTCAGTGATAATCTTGTAGTCATCACCAACCTCTGGAGCCTTCATGAAGGGTTCCATCCTATGTAGAGGGAATTTCCTGGCGTTGAACAGCAGGATGTGCTGATTCTGCAACTTGGTGGCTTTATCAAAAGCTGCGCTGAGGTTGTCTGGTACTTGAGAGATCGGGTCGATCATTGGAAAGGTGAGCGTGTCGAAATCATCGTTGGACATCTTGTAGGTAAACGCCTCATCTGTGTCCTTAGAAGGTGATGATAAGTCCAAGCCATTGGCGATCCAGGAGTTAACTTCCGTATCGGAGAATATGCCTTCACCTTCATCCTCTGATTTAGACATCTCTCGCTCTATGGATGCACAATGACTTGAGTCTCTATAGGATGATTTGTAAGATGAGCTTCTCGCAGGCGATCGATCCCGATGCGATCTTGAATCCTTCCTGGAGTTTTGAGATAATTCTCTAGGCCTTTGCGAAGGTGGGTTCCTGGACGTAGCTTCCCCTCTGTAGGAGTGCCTTCGCGCAGGTTCTCGTTTGGCATCAGAGTCCGATGGAGATGAAGACTCATATCTGCGACTTCTGTAGGGTTCGGGAGAATGCCTCGATTCCTTCCTGCGTGGAGACTTCTTAGCAGCAATCTCTGGAGCGTCTACTTCAGATGAGGAAGATCGTCATGTCCGTGAGCCTTCGCGCAGGCTTCCCTCTTCATCTGGATGTGGTGGGGAGACTGTAGAGCCTTCACGCAGGCTAGTAGTCGTTGTAGAGGTCTTCTAGCAGCCTTCTCCTGAGCGAAGCGACTTTCCTTCATCGACATCATCTTGTCTGTAAACTGTTGCATGAACAGTCCCGGGTTGAAGTTCTGCGTTGTCTGAAGAGACTGCTGCAGGGATGATGCATCTAATACTGAAGAGACGTCATCTACGGCTCGCTGCACTGATGAAGAGTTGACGCTGCTGCTATCTCTGGTACCGGATGTCTGCGTTGATAGAAGGTCTTCTGTCAATGTCTGCGCTGATAACAATGCCGATGTAGCTGTAGAAGCAGGCTTCGTCTTCTTACTGACGATGGTGACTTCAGGTATGAGGATGGGTGGAACATCTCTGCTTCTTCCGGAGGAACAATCTCGGCTATCACTAGATTTAGACATGACTTGTGAATACCTTCGTACCCAGTCCTTAGAACGTCTATGGTAAAAAGGTAATTATTAAATTCAACCGAACTTAAATTTACACAAAACTTACAGCGTGAGCTGAAAGAACATGAAACAGTGCAATTAGGACATAATAAATGAGGGTCAGCCGCAGACTCTCGGTACCTACAACGAATACAAGTTTTCATCAAATGTAAACATGAAGAAAACACATGTCAAACAACGGAAAATTTAAATCAAATTTCAAACCGTAATGTAGAATATAATCCTAAAAACCGTATACAGCAATAATTTTGATGTAAGGTCCGAAAATATAAAAGGATATGTGCTGTATAGGGACCCAGGTGCTCTCACAACCGTCTTCAAGGGCGAAAAGGAGAGAGTGACAAATATGGCCGATCATGTGACCATTTGGGCGCCAAAAGGGAGGAAAGGGACGCTACTCGTGGGTGAGTGATTTTACGTCCGCTTTTTTAGAAGGGAACTTCAAGGGATTTCAAGTGTTCCACTATCATTCCAAAGGAAGGAGACAAGCATAATTAGCATGAGACTGGGTAAGGAAAAATAAATGCTTACAAGAATAGAAACAGGAATGGCCACATAAAAGCATTACCAGAACACAGCATTGCAAGCAAGCACTAGTAATGAAAGCTTTTGAACATGGAACAGTTTTGAGTCTTGACATGGAAATCATGTGCTTTTGAAATCTCTTTGTCATCTCCATATCATTATCCTACCTTCAAGCAGTGCAAGACCTCTACTTTTGGACACATCTTGAACTTCACAAGTTCTCCTGCAACAGAGTAACATGAACATAATACCTAATAACACAGATAAAGGTAACATTTACAGTAATTCTGACTAAACATTAACTGTTCCATTGATTTCACTGAATATTGCAATGAGGCTCATTGTGACATTACATGAATGCATTGTTACAAGTAATAACAATCATGAACGATAATCTCACAGACCCATGATCTATAAACTTTATATCAACACTGCTGTCATCATTTTACACTCAGCCACCAAGCAGGCAGGCCAAAATCATCAAGTGCCCCAAATCCCAGAACTTACAGATAACATTCACAAGTGAAAGACATTCTGTAAGTCCTCACAGCTGCATGTTATTCTATAAACATTACATGCATCAAAACTGGCTCAATCAGCCACTGACAAAACAAAAACAAAAATTAATAAGAATAATCCTGGCAATAAATACTCACCTAAGAATCTGACAGTTTTTAGTTTGGATTCAATGTTGATCTGGTCTTTCTTTTTAATCTGAAATGCAAAATTACAAATGCAACTGTCAACCTTTCAACTTTTCCATCCTCTTCTCTCTCACCACGACCTAAAGAACGACTGGTTCCTATGTAAAACAACATTAGGCATCCATCCTTGAAAGACCTCTTTGTTTGTTGTAACAATGGTTCTAGAAATGATAAGACTTACATGCCACTTGAAATCTCCCTTCAGGTACTGCACCAGATCTGTGGCCACATCCGGCATACAGGGGTTCAGAATGGCAACCAGCCGGGCATAGAAGGGCAACAGGTCATACCTGCATAAACATACAACAAGACTGTTTAAAACTACATGTCACTCGAGTATGACTGTAACAGTATTTACTACATAGAATCAATGTCTTCCAAAATTTCTGTCTAATACGTAATGTCTACAAATGACTGTCTTTATTTACACTTAAATCTACTAAAATGGTGTCAATGGAATTGTTCCAGCTACTGAAAAGGTTTTGGTACATGCTGAATAGGGCCTGTTTATTTAATAAATCTGTAAATATGGAGTGTACCACAATCTTCTGACTAAAATGTTTGGCGGCCTAATATTGTCAGTTCCTTTCTGAATTTACCAATACCACTAATGCATTAACTAGACAAATTTCACCTTGACTGGTCTTGAAAAGGAAAACACCAGGTAGATAGAATTTTAAGTGTTAACTACTGTCTGAAAATTATGGCAAAAGATGACTTGCCTTGTCCGATGCACAGTAAACAATCCTCGAACAAGCTTCCTCCGGTTTGATTTGGTGTTGAAGTTCATGCAAAATTCAATTGCTGCCTGCAAAGCACAAGCAATACACCATGATTAAAAGGCATCATAAGCCATATAGCCGATAAACCAAATTGTCTTCTCTTTAATGAAATTAGAATAATGAAAATAGAACAAAAATCAATGAAGCGAATCTCAAAGTATGCTCTTAAATAATAGAGAAGTGCAAGCTGTCAACGGACACATACTGAACTTCAACACATAAACAAGATGGTGTTCATCTCTATTTCTCCTTCATCTATCTGCCTGTTATGTCCTCCTCATATGAAGCAAAAGTACCTTGTCAATGAGATCTCTGTTTACACAGTTGGGCAAGGACTGCAAGTATGCTTCAAACTGTGTCTTCATCAATGTTCCTGTTTCACCATCATCTTCTGTGAAACCAATATAGAAACAACATATAATCTAATACAAAACATGATTTTTTTCAAGTACTGCTACTAGTATTTACATGTACATGAGAATTTTGACAGTTTGTTGCTTTTACTGACCAGCCTTATTCTACCCTTTCACTACCCAAGATATCGACCATACATGCTTGATCTGATGAAATCATGTCAGTCATATTCCAGGCTCTCCTACATTATAAACCCTAGCTTCAGAAACTTCAATTTCAAAATGTTTCGCTCCAAAATCAATTTTATCATTAGGGATTTATCTGCTGGTAAAAAATTCTCAGAAGCCCTTGTTTGGCCCTATGTCTCCAGCAGAATGAACACAGATATTTCCAATTCAGTTTGACAATTGTGAATAATCACTGGGTAAATGCCTTCTTTCAACAAAACTGACTCTTGAAAACGTGAAAAAGAAGAAGACATTATTACACTTAAAAAGTGTTATAATACCCATTTTCACAATTTGCCAAGAATGGGCATAAAGCTAAAATTCCATGAAAAAACCCTGACTTAAACAAACATTCCATTAACATTTCATAGCTAACATAAAAACAAGAAAATCAGTCCCTGTTACAAAATACACATTAATGATGAGTTTGTAAGTCTATGGTGCAGGAGAGAGTTCTTACCCTCAGCTTCAGGTGGTATGAAGGACCTGTCCTCCCCTAAATCCTCTGCCATTTCCTCCCTGACACTACTGTCCTTATCTTCACCTCCACTGCTGCTACCATCAGCCATCACCAGTTTCTCATCTAGCTTCTCTTCCAGCTCTACCTCCAGGTCCTCCACCTCAAGGCACTCCAGGTCAACTGAAGGAGATAACGAGCCAGATGAACGGTAACCTACTGCAAGGGTTTCATGACAAGACAAATACAATAGCACTGAGGATATCCTTGGCTTACAATATTACCTCTGAGGAGAGCTTTTAAAACACAACCATGGATGCAAATTAGAAACATAAACTGGGTGAACCAGGATTCGAACCCACAACCATGGGTGCCTGGAGTGAATGAATGTGGATTTATGCCATTTCAGCTGAATCACATTGTCTATTAGTACTTGAATCTGGTCTACATAAGCCAGCAGTCGACAGCATAAGCAACATTCAACATATCCGTGTCACTGTATTCACTCTGGTCACACAGTTTCTTCTATTACAAGCATGCGATATGATTCTGCTCCAGTATCCACTTGAGGGCACGTGATACTGATCACTCAATGTGTAGTCAAGTCTTGTGAAGACACACCTGTGGCCAATATCAGCACAAATCCACATCTTAAAACTAACACCGCCAAGCTGAAACTGACAGGGTAACTTTTACCACTATTTATTCATTCAAAATATTACTGCATTCAGTGTATGTATTTAATTCTGCAATTCCCATGAGTTCAGTCTAAGTAAACTTAGGCTCGGTATTATTCGTCACACTGCTATACTGAGTCTAACAAAAACTAGTAGAAGGTCGCAACAGCTAAGCTTTTGGACTGACCAATCAGAACACAGCTTACCAATTCGCGAAAGTAAACATTCGCACATACGGTTTGAACCTTTACCTAAAATACTCGAATGATTCTATATGCTATTTTCCTCAGGATCGCATCCGAGTGATACACACAATGAGTAAACAGTCGCTGAAAATAGCATTTTTGTCAATATTGGAAATTTTAATATAAATTGTATATTTATATACTTATCCTATCTCAGTATTTGCACTTCTCTCTCTTGCTTCAACGCTGAGTGGAACGAAAGAGAACTTTTCCTGTAGGCCTCTCTTGTCCATACGCCCTTGTTCCCCAGGCTGCTCTCTTTATATTACAGGTCCCTAGTCCCTGGCTAAGCGTGCAGCACATTCCCCTGTCTACCCACGTGATTACCTCAGAGTGATCATTCTCTTCTTGGAGCCAATGACAGTTATACGTAACCGTCGTAATCTGAATAGGGGGGAGGCTGGGTGGGCATCCATCGCGTGAGATAGGATAAGTATATAAATATACAATTTATATTAAAATTTCCAAATTATTAAACTTATCCTATCTCACGATTTGCACTTATCCCACGGTTAGACGGCGGGTCGCAGATTACCCTAAGTCAAAAGGCACTGACAGTATATACTGTATAGGCTTATGACAACCGTAGATAGCAATGAACTGACTAGCATAGTACTTATACTAGTGATGGGTTCTCCTGAAAACCTTGGCTTACTAGGCATCATCACTCCTAAGGAGTTGGGTGCTCCTGAGCAATGTGGTGTTTGGCCGCAGGATCCGACTAGCATAGTACCTATACTAGTGATGGGTTCTCCTGAACCTCTTGGCATACTAGGCATCATCGCTCCCAAGAGTGGGTGCTCCTGAGCAATGTGGTGTTTAGCAGCAACCCTCGCATATGCAAGAAAACGCAACTAGGTAAGTCACCTTGCTTCGCCACGATTTATCAGAGTACCCCCGTAATTACGACTAGTAATCGGGCCCGCACCTGCTTCGAGACAGCCCCCCAGACCCCAACACAAAGAGGGGAAAAGGAAACTGAATCGGAAAACTCACAAATTTAACGTTCAGTACCAAAACAACACCACATCACTTCCACTACTTACCACAGTTAGGTCACAACGGTGTGCTAAGGTACTTAGGAGCTAGAACGCTACGAAATAAATAAGGAAATCGGGGAAGGACTCACTATACTGACGTGATTGCTCCGTGAAGTAGAGGTCAGCAAGCGAGATTGTCGAACACTTACTACATCCATAGGGAGCAATGACAAGGTAGGCCCATAACTACCAAGGTCACTACGTGTGATGGTTAGTTCGAACCCATTGACTTACTAAGCACAATTGCTCCCAGGGACCAGGATTCCTGAGCAATGTGGTGTTCAGTCACTACCTTCACGAAAGTGAAAGGACGCAGCTCAGCGAGTGTAATCAGTCGCATTACCACGATTTCCAAGGAACCCCCGTAATAAAAGTCTAATGACTAGTATCGGGCCAGCCCCACCTTCGAAACAACCCCAACAGACACCGTCCCGAAGAGGGTGAAAGTGTAATTGAATCGGAAAACTCATAAGTTTAACGTTCAGTACCACAGCATCATCTTATGACTTCCACTACTTACCACAGTAAGATCACATAGATGTGTATAGGTACTTAGGAGCATGAACGCTACGAAGTGTAACACTTCAGGAATAACTCACTTCACTGATGTAATTACTCCATAGAGCAGACGACAGTAAGTGAGGTGGCGACTCTCCAGAGTCTCAAATTAAATTGAGAGGAGAAATCGAAGTCCCGGGAGAATCGAAGACACAAATCAGAAATAAAATTCAGAATTTTATTCAGATTGTACACAAAGCAGCAACAATCGCAACTGGTGATCATCTGCGCTGAAGCTGATGGTTGTACCGAGTGGCGAACAGGTCTACATCTGGTCGTGATAACAGGTAGATCTTCGATTGGAATATCACAGAGGCAGTTGTTTCCACTCCGTGAGTGACGGGTATTTGGGACGTGACAGGGCATCGGCAATGACATTCCTCATCCCGGAAATGTGTTGGGCTCTGGCCACTGTGTTGAGTGAATCGATCAGATGATAAATTCGAAACATCAACTGAAGCAGAGCTGCTGATCCTGTCGACCCCCGATGGTTTATGTATCAAACTACCATCGAAATGTCTGATTGAATCAGTATATGAGAGGATCGTAGTTCAACTCCCCAATGCCGAACGGCGAGAATGACAGTGCTGACTTCCAATTCGTTGATATGAAGGGCCCTTTCTCCTGATGACCACTGCTAGGCCACTTGATGGAGAAAGTGAAAGCCCCAGCTTGAGAGGTGCGTTGGTGAACAGGTGTTGAGTCGGTATGAAGGGCACCATAGAGACTCCAACAAAACATTCCACTTGTTGAGCCACCAACGAAAGACTGAATGTAGTTGTGCGGGAAGACGAATCAACTCCCTGGGGTTGTCGTCCCAGATATATGGGCACAGAAACATCTGAAGAGGGCGAAGCTGCAGTTGGCTCCTGTAAATCAGCGCTTGTGCTGACGTCAACCACCCTAGTAACTTTTGCCACTGGCGAAAAGTTGTGGGTTGGACCAGCACTAGTGGTATGTTGCACTGAATCTTGTCCCACCTCTCCTGGGGCACAAACATCATGACCTGTCGTGTTGAATATTGTCCCAATAAAAGTAATCACCGGGTCGGTGTTACCTCCGATTTCTCCTAATTCAGCAGCCATCCTAATTGCGCAAGCCCTGCTGGGCTTGAACACAGTCGTCGATATAGTTCTCGAATGTCACGCCTCGACAATGCAGGTAGCTTGTTATCGGATTGGGTACCTGAGTAAAAAGCCACGAGGCCGTACATATGCCAAACAGCAGGACCCTCCATTGGTATCAATGACGCCCCTTGAAAGTAAATCGAAGATACTTCCAATAGTCTGGATGTATCGGGATGTGAAGGTAGGCATCTCGCAGGTCGAGGGAAATGAGAGGTCTAACAACTCTTGCCTCTGACAAAGAGATATCTCCTGAGATAGGAACGTTCAATTAGTCCAGCTGCCATGCCAGTACTAATGGAGTGCTGAATGTAGTTGGTTCGGCGCATGGAGATTGTCAGTCAATCTACAGGAACGCTCACATTGTAAACGAAGTGAAGAAATTCGTATGATCGGCGACCTCAGGAATGTTTTGGTTGGCCGAACAAAATGATGGTTTGCCAGGTGGAGTGATAAAGGTAGTAGGTCGCTGCCTGGGGACAGTCCGACATAACTGCAGTGACCTCTGAATTCAGTGCTTGAGCTAGTGTAGAAAACCGCGTAACACCAGCCAAAGTCAAACCTCTCATGGGTGTATCTGTCTGTCACCCTCGACAAGCAGTCTCTCTCGACTGGCTGACGAAATCCCGACACAATCACTCTTACCGGGAATGGCACCGTTCATTGTTACTAGCCTTTGAAGGCTGGACTTGATATCCGACTCGTGGGACCAAGACAAGTCTGCCAGGGCAATTCATAGTCATTCTAATCATCAAAATTCCGGTAAACAAACAGTAGTCCGCCATTTGATAACGTTACCCACAATGCGACAAAAATCCGGACAACACAGTCTTCGGTTAACCGGGCGAGTCACAACCCATAAATTCTAAGGCTGAGCTATGCTGACTACTTGACAAGACATCGCTGCTGGTACCATGCACAAAAACTTGACCCAACTGTCATCTGTCCAGAAACTTGCTGATGATGTAAAACGCAGGGTGCTGAAGATGACGAACCATCTGCAATGATTGCACCCAGCGAAACACAGAAACGCTGTTACGAGTAGTCTGTAGTAACTAGACTCTGTGAAGCGTCGTAAAGTATTCCTGGCTAGCAAGCTTATCTAGTAATGCCCTATCGGGTGGTGGTAGTGCTGATATCTACGCCGAAGGACAGATTCTTTGAACCAAATCATTCATCAAAGGTGAAGATTGGATGGTAGATTAAATCTGGAATGAGATGAGTCCTGGTCACGGAGGAATCTTGAGAACCGTTAAACCGTCAAGTGCCGAGCGTAATTTGTCTAGATGACTGCGCTACTGACATCAAATGTGAATCACTGCGGCATGGTGAAGCACATAGCTACTACCTCTGTTCAACCAGCAGAAAAAGGGTACCAGGTGGGATAAGTTATGTGACTAAAACCTTTAAGCACCTCACAAGCCGTAAGGTAAACCAGATAAACAAATCAGTTTGTCGTGCCACTCTGTGGTGAGGAATTCAGCGCCTCACAGATGCCCTGAAAACTTAACCAAACCTGTAGAGGTTTTCAATTCTTTG